CCCCCAGCCCTGCACTTGGCTTGGGTGTGGGGCTTGGATGTTGGCACTATCCAATCTGTGTGACAGCTGGGAATGAAGAAATTAACATAGAACCTGTTTGTTCAAGAAAGCCCAGTGGGCCCTAGCAGAGGCCACCATGAATTCATGCCACAGAGATACCTCCACAGTCCAGGGGAGAGTCTTCAAGTGTAAAAATCACACTGAGCTCTGAGCTGAATAAATAAAAACAAATCCACACCTGGACATATCCTGGGTAAAACTATCAGAGAAAAAAACAGATTACCTACAAAGGATGCAGACTTCTCATCAGCAGTAATAGATGCCCGAGGACAATGGAATCATGTCTTCGAAGCACTGAGGGGAAATAACTGTCAACTTAAAATTCTATACCATCACTCAAGAGCTAGGGAGAAACAGAAACAATTGGGGGCACAAGAAAACGAAGCAAGGGCATCACCCAAAGACCCAGAAGCTAGAGATACTAATATAGGCAGGAAAGAACGCCAAAAAGGAGAGTGAGATGTAAGAAATGGTGTTTGCTAGAAAAGGAAGAAATCAGATGAGAGCTTCCTCAACCCTCCACAACCCTACCTAAAAAGTTGCCTTTACCAGTGGGCAGAGGGGCACACCTTCCCTCAGGTTACAGTGGGAGAGCTGTCTGTGCTCTGGGGACACCCCCTGCTTTCTCAGGAACCTGATTCTGTTAATAATTTCCTCTCCCCTATATGTTACTTCTTTAAAGCTAACATTTAATTGTTGAACAAAATATTATAGACATATATCTTGAAATTATAATGAAAAGCAGTCATTCCCACCACCCTCCCCTGCCAGCCCTGTTCCCTGGCAGCAACCACTTTCAGATCTTTGAGCTGTCTTATCTGGTACCTATCTTCCTATTTTCAAATAACAAGCAGGCCATCACCTGCTTGCCAAGGCTTGTGGCCATTTGCATTGTGACAATCTTTCCTTAATCTGGGAAAAAGACAGACTTGATAAACTGTCCCAATGACACAGTGTTCTTGTTTTTAGAACATGGAGCCACAAGACTCAGCCCCTTCCCCTCCCCTCTCCTCCCCTTCCCTTGTAACTTATACAAGAGATCATTTGTATAAGTTACAAGGTGAGATATTTTGCAATACTTTTATATCTTACTCTGTCTCATAAGGATTTACTCATGCTTGCTACTTTACAATATTTCTATTTAAGAACAAATTATGCTGCCCCTCAGTGCATCTCCGAGATAAGCTGAGTCCAAAAAGTTGGGTCACTTCACCCTCAGGGGAAAAGGGAAACGCAGGACAAGCATGAGCTTGGGTGTGAATAATCTAGAATGTGGATAAACTTATTCCTCCTAAGAACAGGGTAGGGTGAGCAGATGGGTGCATCTGTCACTGTTTGGACTCTGGGAAGAAAAAAGAAAAATTTCACCAGCAGAAGGCTGAGGAACCAGTAGAGGTAATATTTGATGATTAATATTATCTTCATATAAAGTTTTTTAAAACTTTGTTAAAAACACCTTTGACTCTTGAGAGTTCTAAACCTTTCACTCATTGCTTTGTTTAAAAAAAAGTAAAAAGGAAAAAGAAATAATAGCCAAAAAAAGAAAACAAAAACTATCTGACCAATTTAGGATCTAAAAAGAAGAGGCCTCCCCTCACATGGCCAAAAATGTTCCAAAAACATAGTCTTACAATCCTTTCTTTTTGCTTTATCAATTTAGACCATGACTTCCAGTTATGGTAGAAAAGAATTTAGTTCTTTTATTTTTCAACATCCCAGTTATATCAGTTTTTGTTAAATCAGTAGTTGGTGCCTTTATTATTATTATTATTAATTATTATTATTATTTAAGTATGTTTGTTGCCGAACTGTTGAGTATACTATGGCTACGTTTCCTTTCTTAAACATTTAGTTTTTCTTGGAGTTAACAGGTCTCTTTCATTTGCTTCACTTTTTATTACCTATGGCTTATTCTTCTCAAAGACTCTAGTTTATATGTAAAATCTCTTTTCCACACAAACATTAGATATCTGCTGTTCCCAGCCCACCTCTCTTTTTTCTTGAATCCTCTCTGTTCTGGAGTCCTCCATCCTCCCCTCCCATCGGGCCCTCTGGGTCTGCTGCAGAGCTGGCAGTCTGGAACCTCTCCATTACTCCAGCAGGTTCCCATGATAATGAAAAATTTTGGAGAATCTGCCTGTCTGAAAATACCATTATTTTACTGTCACACTTGATTTATAGTGCTGGGTACCTAGGTTAGAATGACTTTTTTTTTTCCCCTAAGATTTTTTTAAGGCACTGTTCCCTTCTCTTCGAGCTTTAAGTGTTTGTTGCTTTTAAGAAGACCGATGCCTTTCTGATTCCTCATCCTTTGCACGTGACCTTTCGTTTCTTCTCTGTAAGCTTTAGTATCTAATCTTTACTCCTGGCATGCCTACACTTCGGGATGATGTGCCTGGCCTGGGAGACTATTTTTACTCCTTGTTCTGGGTTGTTGGCAGGCCCTTTCCGTTTGGAGACATGTCCTTCAGTTCTGGGAAACTAATCCATGTTATTTGTTTGATAGTTTCCTCTTATCTATTTTCTCTCTTCTGGAACTCTTATTAATCAAACGTTGGACAAAATGAGATTGATCCTCTCATTTTCTTTCCCCCCCATTGTCTAATTCTGAATGTGTGTTATACTTTTTTACTGAGAAACCTCTGCCCCTGACCTCCAATTCTTCCCTAGGGACATGTCCTTTTCAAACAAATCTCTGCAAATTCCTGCTTGGGAGAGGAGGGGAGGAGGAGAGATAGCAGTTCCAGGTCATTTGAGGTCCTCAAACAGGGCAGGTAAAAGGCTAAGTAGCCCCAAGAGTTCAGTAAGCGTCTGATACAGTGCCTTTTGCTCTGCCTGGGATCTTCAGGAGGAGTGTATCGCCAACCGACTTTCTCCCTAACTATACATTTCTGTGGAGGTGGTGCAGCTGCAGAGGGTCAGGAAGAGGACCTTTGGTCTAACTGTTCTGTGTGCAGACTGAATTAGCCCCTTTGTTTTCACCTCCCTCTGGCTTTCCTCAATACCTGCAGCTCCCATCCTGACCCTTTCCGAAGCTGCATAGGACACACCATCTCATTTCTCACTAGTGTCTCTTTTTGCAGGCTCTCTGTCCCTTTCTTCCAGAAGAGTGAAGCCTGCTCTGCTCATTAAGTCCTTCTCCATCTACCATCTCTCATGCACTTTGGTCTTCTCTCCTATTCTCTTGGAGGTTTATAACTTTTAAATTCTTTTACCATTATTTCCGTAGGATTTCTTTGGGGTGGACAGAGAGGCAGATTAAATGTATATGTTCAATTTGCCATAATAATCAAATGCTTCTTTAACTGCCCTTTCTTCATTGGCTCATCAGCATTTTAAGAAAATTATTTTACTGCAATAAGAACATGTAATATAAAATCTTCCCTCTTAAAACACATTTTTAAGTATATAATACAGTATTGCAGACTATAACTCATTTAAACATTTAAACATTCTCAAGCCTCTTCAATATTAAGGAAATCAGGACTAACAAAAATTTTCCCTTGATCTTCTTGCACCTACTGCATTCTCTTTTCCTTCATAGCCAAACTTCTTTAAAGAGTTGTCCACTCTCTCACCTCTTCTTCAACACTCACCAATTTTCCAATCTATTGCCACTACCTTCTATCCCCATCACTCCACTGAACTCATGTATTTGTAGATGAAAAACTACATCTTTTCAGACAAAAACAATCTCTCCATACATAGACAAATACTCTAAGCTGGAGGGAGGGGCAGACAGACACCCTTTACTTGTCTTCCCCCAGAGTTACCCAACATCAAATAAAGGTGACCTTAGATACTGTTTGCAAGGATGAAAAGCACAAGTAAGGAAAATGTTCTGAGATAGAGAAACTGCCCCAATACAACCAAAGCCCTGGATAGCAGACACATTGGAGGCACTGCTCACAACCTTCCACTCTGGGCAGTGACCCTAAGAAAAGTAAACCTCTGTCCCTACACGCCTTCCAGTGCTCAGTTCAACCAGCTTTCACTTGGATTTAAATGTGAGAGTATGGAATTCACCTACGATAATCCTCCCACCCCTCTTCACCACCATATATACATTTTCTCTAAGGATGACAGGAAATGCCACCTCCGAAACTATATGTTCTAGACAGACTATGAGCCATTTATTAGCACCAATGGTCACACTGTTCCTTCCATCCTAGAGTTGGTTGAAATTCAGCCAATTCTATGAAAGTATATGCTAAAATTTTGCTGATGAGTATGCTACACCCAGTCATTCCTTGCGCTTAAGTGAAAATGAGTAGATAAATGAGTAGTTAATGTATATTGTGGTTGATTTTTTTTCCATTTTGACTACTTCTTAATTTTCAACAACCACAATCATTACTGACCTTATACTGCAATATCATGTGATAAATATGCTGTTGTTTCCTTTAACTGAAGTCCTCTTCCTTCATTTATCTGCCTAACTCCTACCTGGCCTCTCAGATACGACCTCTTCCAATACCCTTTCTTAACCAACTATACCCCTACTCCAATTTCTCATAATAGTCCTTCTCTTACTGATTACCTGTCCCATGCTCTGCCTATTACCCTCCCAGGAGTAATCACACAGCACTCTATTTGTTTATAAGACATACCTCCCCAAATAGTCTTTGAACTCAAAGGCAAGAATCATTGCTCATCTTTATTTTCCAGTTTATAGCACAGTGTCTGGTATTGAGTAGACATTCTAAAATGCGTGTGAAATGAGAGAATAAATGAATAAATAAACATGCTATTTAGACTTAAAAAAAGAATTATAGAGATGGGTCTTTAGAAAACATTCAGTCCATCCTATTTCATTCAAAATTCCCTAAGCAAATATTTCCTAAGAGCTGTGCCAAGATATTAAAACAAAGAAATCATGATCTATGTTCAATAAAACATAAACCCTTTCTAATGTAAAGAGTATTAAATAAAAACCTTACCGGCAAAGTTCCAGGCAGAGATGCATCAAAAAAAGATACTAAAGAATTTGGAGGTGCTGCAAAGTGGACTTGGGATCCAGAGAAGAGTTTCGAGTTGGAGGAAATCTGGGCATGGATTTCCAAACCCACCACGGCTGCCCACTGGTGTTCACTAAAGAGAAAGATATAATGGTTAAGCAATAGTTAGCTCTGTCCTCACACATAAATTTCTATGAGCCTAAACCACAAATGTTTATTTCCTATTTTGTTTTTAACTTATTAACATTTTATTTCCTTACATTTAAAAATGTGTCATCTTGTAGTAGTGATTAAATCAAAAGCAATTCATGATAAACACCTACAAGACCAGCAAAATAAAATTCATTTACAACGTGGCATAGAGTTCACTGTACAAACAGGAGGCCACAGAGAAAGGAACAATTTGACATCTTAATTTAGCAATGGGTATCAGGTAGTGCCTGCGTGGCTGACTTCAGTGAAATTAACGGTCCTTTATCAATTAATCACTCAGCAAATGAAGAAAGCTGACCTGGTACACATTTTTAGAGTTAACGTCAGGATGCTACTACTAGATAAATAATGGTAAATAAATAGCTGCACATCTCATTATTACGAAAGAGAAGTTATGTTTTCAATTCCTTTTTATAACAGTGGCTCATAAGTAAAATTATCAGTGACATGGATGTAATCGATCACTACTAAATACTACTCCTGGAAATTTTGTGCACAGGAAAACATTAAACCATCAGATTTGGCTTTTTTTGTTTTGTTTTGTTCCCAAACCACTTTCAGTTACCCAGATCTAGGTTCAAGTTCTTTTGCTTATTTGCTTATGCTTGATTGCTATAAAATCTAAGAAGCTGTTAAAAGCTATAATTTCTCTAATCTGGCCACCCCTCTGTTGGATCTTTGAAAGTCCCATATACAGGTATCTCCAGGTTCTTATAAGTGTCCCTCTGAAACCCAATTTGCAGATAGCCTAGTCACACATACTCTTTTCATATTTTATCTGTTCCTATCCTGCTCTTTTCCCAAGCAATTTTCTATACTGTCTAGATTTTTGTTTACATGTTTTGGATTTTGTTTCAATCATTCCAACATATGAAGTTCTATATCTACAATATTGTGAGATTAATTCCTTCTTTTTACAGTTTGGAAGCATCGCCTATAATTGAGAGGAATTAAATGAAGACTTCGTTAGAAATTCTGCATTTCCCTAAAACATTATTCAAAGTACTTTTTCAGTTTCGTTACGTGAGAGAAAAAAAATACTTTCCATTCACAGTGAGGTGATCCAACTTATGAAAAGCACAGAAATCAACCTTCTGGACACTTTCCCTCCAACTGAGAAGCAAAAGTAATGCCAACCTAACTATCTCATAGGGTTAACAGTATTAGACATGTGCCTTATATTTACGTTTTAAAAAGAAACGGTTTTAAGTCTTATGCTGTAAAGAATTAACAGCTGTTCAGGGGATATCTAGCAGAATAAACAAAGCTCTCTGCACAACCAGAGTGACGATTTCTTGTACTGGCTGCATCGTCTTGTGTCTAGACATCCATGCTCCCCAGGAAAGGCCTCCACAGAAGGCGGTGCTTCCCGACTAAGGCCCTTAAGCCACCACTATCCGGCGCTTCTAGGTAAAGGCTCCCTTCCCACCTTTAGGACACTGCTGGCCGTAGTAATGCTAAATGTCAGCTAAATGAGATCCCGCTTCTAGCGCCACAGACCCCGCTGCTGGGACGACTAGTGCGGTGCCTGAATCCGCTCTTCGGTCTGTGTAGCAGCTTTTGACTTAAGAAAACACCTGCGACTTTACACTTGCGAATTCCCCCAACACACTGTATCTATTTGCGGGGGGCGGTTTCTGTGCGGAGGCGGGGCTCACAGAGGACAAGTTTTGTGCTTCCCAGGCTGCAAGTTACAGCCCAACGCCCTCCCACTCAACAGAAGGTCCAAACTGACTGCTGGGCTGGGTGGCCATCATCTTCCCAGTCCCGCAGTGGCACCGCACACTGGATTGGGCAGGATGGTATGAGATCGTATACCCTTTCCTCGGCTTCTGGGCCGTGACGAGGGGCTGCTGAGCCACTGAGCTCTGTCCCCTTTTCCCGCTGGACCTGGACCCAGTCGGAGCCCCTCTTCCGTGGCGAGGACCGCGGTCAATGTTGGCTAAAATCCAACGCCTTGCGGGACAGCACCAGCGCAGCACGGGCGCCGCCATTGCCCCTCCGGCGTCCGTCAATTGACGCAGCCTCCCTCTGCCGCGAGGGTCTCTGGGAAGTGTAGTTCTGAAAACGTGTACAACTCCATAGGCTCCAACGGGAAGACTTCTATTCCCAGCGAGCACTGCGAATCGAAGGCTCCCGGCACGCTGGCGGGGAGGGAGGGAAAGAGCAATAGAGAAGAGCGAGTGAGGGTTTCCGGGTCAGAAGGGTGACTCCTCCTAGCGGGGAGCTGGAGAGGTTTGTGACTGGGAGCGTGTGTAAGAGTTTGAGTGAGAGCAGGCGGCGAGGAGGATCCAAAGCTGAGAAACGTGGCCGGGATTTTATACCACCGTTAACGTTTCGAACTGAAGTCAATGACCTTGACATACCTCGAAGACTTCCTGAACCCCCCAACCCGCTCAATTATTTTCTCTGTCTACTGTCCCACTTCACACACCAATTTGTGCATTAATGCAACAAATACTTATTTGCGAGTCTACTCAATACCAGGCACACTTCTTAGGCACAGGGGCTGCAGCAGTGAGGAAGACAGTATGCTCATGGAGCTTACATGCTTGGGAGGGAAGACATACAGAAAAGTTAACAAAAATGGGATACTTTCATGCAGGTGAAAAGTGTTAGTATTTAAGCAGAGGTACTTGGAGACAAACAGACCTAGGTTGAGCCTTCTAGTGCATTTTAACTTACAGGCATAACTCGTTTTATTGCACTTTGCTCCACTGCACTTCACAGGTGTTGCATTTTTTTATAAAATGGAAGTCAAGACCCTCCAAGGTTTGGAACCCAAACACAATATTTCTGAGGTGTGCCTATACTTGCTTTATTATGGTGGTCTGGAACTAAACCTGCAATGCCTCTGGGGTATGCCTGTATTCTTCCTTATGTTCTTGGCCAGTACTCAAAACAATCTTTTTATATGAGAGGAAGCCTTGGTAGCAGATGCCATCATTCCAGCAGACTTCTTTTATTTTTCCTGCTTGGAAACTCATACCCCTCTTTGAAACTATCATTGATTTCCGGCATTTGCACACACAGCTTAGACTAGTCATTCAGCCATTCTCTGTTATGTCTCCCTACTTTAATTCTCCACATAGTACTTATGACGATCTGATGTTTATGGAGAATTTGTCTTATTCAACACAGTATTACCAGATTACAAAATAGGCCCCTCACAAATATTTGTTGAATGAAGGAGGGCAGTGTGGATAATGCATTTGACAAAGGATGACATGAAAGCCCTATTTTTAGGAGGGAGGTGATGGAATAGTGTCATGGTGGAGGCAAAGAGAAATTGGCCTGTGTGAGACAGCTTTAGAAAGTATGATTGAAGGATTTGGTGATGGGTTGGATATGATGGTGGAAGGCTAGGTGGGGGTCAGGTAACTCCTAGATTTCTGGCTTGTAAAACTGGATGAGTGATAGAGCTATTAACTGAGATAAGGGAACTAGAAGAGAAGAGGGTTTGCAGAAAAATATGAGTTTGGTTGCCTTAGAGACTTACAAGAGGAGAAGTGAAGTAGGCATCTTTGATGCCTAACTGAATGTGGAACAGGGGAAACGCCACATAGTCTGCGTACTTCACTTCACACTGATAGATTTTCAGTTATTGATCAATAAGTAATCTATTAATTAGACAGCTATTACCTACAAGTATTCCCATTCATACTCCGATACAGATATGATATGCAATTTAATCCATTCATGTAACCAATTTTAGTTACTCTCCTTAAAATTGTCATTATTTACTTTTTCTATCCATTTTATTTTTTCACCCACTATCATTGATCCAAATTGCTAGACCAGAAGTATTTTCACATGGTCAAAAAAGAAAATGAGAGAAATGACAGAGACTGCAAAGTAGAGGTGGAGATTTGTTCCAACGTTTATCTCTAATTATTGTCCTGTCATGTTCAGATCACTCTTTAGACCTTTTAATAATTTCTCTCCTCTGAGTTTTTATATTTCCCACCTTTACTCTAGGTTAGCTTGCTTTCTCTTTCTCATGTAGCTCCACAGGTCTTTCTGGCCCAGACCTGGGGTCAGGAGAGTTCCACCACTGATAGGACTGCGGAGGAGAGGGAACCCTGTATCTCAGAAGTGAGCATGGGCATCCTTTAGCCAAAAGGAAAGGGAGCACCTTGCTACCTTATCACTGCTGATCAGCATGCTTAGGAGGCAATTAACTTCCTAACAAGAAGAGCTAGGGATGTTTTTGAAAAACCCTGTAAGAGATAGCAGCACACCTAATGAAAATCCTAATTTTATGGGCAAAATGCGCTATAATGGAAACATCTTATGCAGTGATAACATATCACTTCAAAGACTACCACCCCACCACTAGAGGGAGAGAAAATCCTATGCATGAAAGTGGATTTGATTCCTTTTACAAATGGAAACCTTCCCATTCGTTGCATATTGCACAGCCTTTTCAAAATCCCACAAGAGCTAATGGCTCTATTCTCCCCTCTAGGTTACCTGTCATTTCCAGAAATGCCCACTGGTTTCCTCGTGCTTGATCTAGTGTCTAGGAGTGCATTGTTTTCAAAGCACCCCTCCTTTCTTGCTCCTTAGCTCATCGGGTGCTGCCACTGAACCTCCTACCATAGGACCATTTCTTGCCTTCCTCCTGCATGCCAAATCAGATACCTGTCAGAACTCTTACTGACAGACAGCCTTCTACCTGAGAGAGCTATTTTGGTTCCACTGAAAAGGTAGCTGTCATCTGGAAGACACAGAGATTTTCATTTTCAAGAAGCTCGAAGAGGTAGCAGGACAGGGTTTCGAGCAAAAAAACATTTTCTTAGGGCGAGTTTCTCAGCTTTTATTTTATTCATGTAATCGACATCGTACAAATAAATTTAGAACAAGTGTTTTTTTTTAAAGAGATGTAAACCAGAGTTGAATTTCAAGTTGTTACTTATAAAGTATACCTAAAGTAGTTAGAAAGCATATCTAAAACAATGTGCTTGGGTTTATTCTTCAGAGAGCCTTTGAATATCAGAGTTGGAACGCATTGGCTTGCCTCTCTGTGTTTGACTTAAAATCCCCAGGTATCTATAGGAACACATTGATTTCTGAACACAAATCATTTCCCCCCAAATCTAAGTTGTGTTTAATTGTCATCACTTCCTTTCTCATCCTTTCACTGGTTTGGAAATGGGGGTATAGTGCGAAAACATGGGATTCTAGGGCTTATAACATCTTCAGTAACTTGAGTACAATGTAAAAGAATGATATAAGTGGTTCTAAGTTTCCTTTTTTTTAAATGAAGTAAACAATTTTAATACAAACATTAAAATTTCAAGTAAAATTAAAAGATCATTCCTATCATTTATTTTAATAATGTATCATGGCAGTGTGTCTAAAATCTATTTGTATACAACTTTGAATCTTAAAATTAACCTATTCTTTGATAAACTATTTTTGTCCTGTGGCAACGAAGGCAGGGCTTTAAAGATGGTTAGCAGACTAATAAACAGAATGCCCCTTGCAGTATAACAGAGCTGGATGTGAATGCTTATTGTAGTATTTCTTAATATACTTGTGAGTTTGGTCCCTCCATGGGACTGGTAGTTTCTTTCTGTTCTATAGCTGTAGCACCCAGCCTGTTGTCTTGACATTTTATGACATGTGGGGAGGGAGAGAGGGTAGCTGGGTCAGTATAAATTCTCTTTTAAAAAGGAGGGGGGAAATTCCCCCATTTAAGGTTATGTACATACGAGAAAAAGTGACAGCAAAAATTTTCACATAGGAAGAAGTGGTACTAGAGGAAGTCCTGTTTTTGAAAAAGTCCTATTTCCTAAAAACATAAAGTTCCTTCTTAGAAAAGCCACATTTTAAGACCAAGTTAAGTGTCATTATGGGAAGAAGAAAGACAGGGAATATGTGCATGCCGGGCAGCCGAGAGAACAAGATTCATTTCCTTTTATTTAACCATTAAGTCTTGATTCTGGTAAAATACTGACGTGGGGGGAACAATTCCTTTCTCTAGAAGATTGCTTTGAGGCAAAGAAATCTATAACTTTTTCTTCCTTTCCAAGGCAAGGAATAGGACAGCCCTGTGCAATGTCTTTGTAGAGATGAAGTGCCATCTGGGGGAGATAGGCCAGGGCATTGCTGCCATTAGGTTTGCCCAGCCCATAAACTGTAATCTCTCCATGTCTTGGCTTCTTCAGTCTGGTCTCAAGGAATGGTTTGCTGTTTTCCCGGGCCTTTCCTTTTTTAGAAATCTGCATAATCCTGGAAGCAAACCAGAATTATGTGTAAGAAATAAGTTCTACTTCTACACACCCCTGTGACTTACTTGAAAGAAGATACTCCTCAGTCAAAAGAAGTGAGTCCCAGAACATGGTAAGCTCTGTGTCTCTGTAAGCTATGTTTAGCATGTAGTCAGATCCTTGCTATGCACTAAGAAGCTCTAACGTTTGTGTTTGGGAATTGGGGATTTGGCCTTGAAAGTTAAGGAGCTTTTACAACACACACACACTTCTAAGCAGGATCTTATTTCAGAATAGCACACAAATAATGATTGAGAGCTTTTAGATGCTGTTTTTGTATGTCAGATGGTTCTGTTGGTTTTAAGTTTAAAGATTTTGAAGAGCAAAAAGTCTGACATTAAAGAACTAGGCCACCAAGAACTATGGACTTTGATGGCACCTTTCCCTCCCTGAATGAACAATGAACTCCTACTTGGTAAGTGAGGGGACAACGTATCAGAATCCACCGAGTGGCCCAGAGAGAACAGAAAGGTGTATCTTACACATCTTGCCAAGTAATCCATGTCCTTACCTGTGAGTTTCTGAACTGGGATCTGCCCTTGAACCAAGAATGGATGGGCTGCACAAAGCAATAAAGGCTGAAATCTCACGGGTGGCAGAGACTTCAGGGCTCACTACCATTTAACGTATGGCTGTTGAGAGGAAATTTTTCCATGAAGAGGTGCCAGGTTGAATTAAAAATCAAGCAGCTCAATTCAAAGACATTAGCAATTAAACGTTACAACTCCTGAGATAAATGCAAAGAGAGAGA